TGCATCACAAAGTAAATGATTTCATAATGCTTTGTCTGGAAATGACCGTTTTTTTTCATGTTGTCAAAACACTCACATTTTCCTATGCAATGACGTCAGCCAATCATAACGGCTGATTACTGACAAGCCTTAAAAGACACGCCCCTTAAAACAGGTAGTTTTAGACAGAGGGTCAGAACGAGGGTTGAAAATAATCTTTTTTTTTTTTGTGCAAAAAACTTTATTAACATAAGTAAACCTAAAGGAACATTAAAATAATTTTAAAAATCCATGTCATGACCCCTTTAAACGGTTTATAGGTTTATGGAGAAAATTAGCAGGATTCGTATTTGGGATCCCGTCAGTGATTGGTCACCTGCTCCCGGTTAGCAGCAGCACTTTAGCACCGTCCAGACCTTTAGTCACCAGCTCCTTAACGACCTCCTGAATGATCTGAGAACCCATGAATGCATAGTCATCTGAACACAGACACACACACACACACACACACACACACACACACACGATGAATGTGAATGATGGACACTCTGAGTGTGAGTGTGTGTGTGTGTGTGTGTGTGTGTTTTACTCTGGTCTGTCTTCGCTGTGGAGCCGCTCCAAACATCACTGGAGCAGTACGGCACAAACCTGCACACACAGATTCACTATTCATGAGAGAAACAGCAAATAACACTGAATTCACTGTGAAATGCTGAAATAGAAAGTCTGAAGTAATATTTTCTCTTTGTAGCAAAATCTAACTTATCTGCAGTATAAAAACAGTAAACAGTATAGAAATGTAAAGATGCAGGTCATTTTCTGAGAGGGTTATGGGATATGAAATATTATTATCTGTTTATAAAGTCATAATCGTACACTGTGTTTGCGTTCCACCAGTGTGGATTCTCCTCGGGCTGAGACGACAGGATCCCTGTTCCTGAAACACACACACATGGTTTTCATGTTTATAAGTTCTGACACTCAGAATACGGTATTTTTGGACATGCCTCCCTGTTGTTAGGATGCTCTGAGTGTTGCTATGCAGTTGGCAAGATGTTGTAAGTGTTGCATAGTTGCTTAGTATGTGGTGCTTAGTGCTTTCTTGACATACTTAGGACATACTTATGAAATCCATTGCATTTTAAGTGTTGCATAGTTGCTTAGTATGTGGTGCTTAGTGCTTTCTTGACATACTTAGGACATACTTATGAAAACTTTTAGTTTTTTTTTTTTTTTTTTACCAAATCCTTTTTTTTTTTTTTCAAAAGCATGTCTAATAAACTAAAATCATGAAACTTAGCTAATGTAATAATTTATTAAATGTTTAACAAAAATGACATTTTTAGGGCCTTTATCTTTTTCCATTTTCATTTTTTTGGATTTCTGTTTTATTTATTTTTTTCCCAAATTAATTATTTTTTCTGAATTCCATTTTTTCCTGTTTTAGTTTTTTTTCAGTTTTAATGTTAAATTACATTTTTCTCAAGGGTGTAGGTTTGATTTTGGCATTGGTGGACGTAATGGCAGACAACAGACATTTAATTGTTTGATCAAAATTATTGCTAGAGACAATTTAGTAGTGTCTGACATTGGTAGGATCATGTCACAGCGTTTATACTAAATTCTACACCCTTGAAAATCATAACAAGCGATGTCCGACTTTGATAACTCTAGTTCTCTCCTTAAATATGAAGAGGTCAAACAACAGATGGTTGTTACTATAGTTAAACCAGGGTAACCACAAATTGACCATGCTTTTGCTACACTAACCATAGTGCAAATACAAATGACCTGCTCTTATCATCTGATCGTGGTTGTATCTCTCTTTTAGTGCTACTGGATCTTAGCACTGCGTTCAACACTATCAACCACAGCATTCTTTTGAATAGACTAGAAAACTTTGTTGGCATTAGTGGAAGTACATTAGCATGGTTCAAATCGTACTTATCTGACCGTCATCAATTCGTAGTAATGAATGAAGAGGTATCATATCGATCACAAGTGCAGTATGGAGTACCTCAAGGCTCAGTACTAGGGCCGTTATACTTTTCACGCTTTACATGTTACCCTTGGGAGATATCATCAGGAAACACGGTGTTAGCTTTCACTGTTATGCTGATGATACTCAGCTCTATATTTCTTCGCGGCCCGTTTTCGAAACATACAAATTTGAAAAACAGAATGCATAGTCGATATAAACAACTGGATGACGTTCTTACTAGAACCAGGAAGTATGACCATATTAGCCCGGTTCTGTCAACACTGCACTAGCTACCCATTAAACATCGTATACATTTTAAAATCTTGCTTATTAATTATAAAGCCCTAAATGGTTTAGCTCCTCAGTATTTGAACGAGAGATACTATTTAAACTGAACTGAGCTGGACGATGACATAACTGAATTCAATGATGAACTGCCTTTAACTGAAAATTGAGTGTTTACTTTTGTCCTTTTTGCACTATTGACACACTATTTTCCTATTTGATACTGTAAAGCTGCTTTGACACAATCTGTATTGTTAAAAGCACTATATAAATAAAGGTGACTTGACTTGACTATAGTTTAACCGTTATTTATATAGTATTTGTAGTAAAAACAGGCTACATAGTAAAAAAACATGGTTACTACACATTTACTATAATAAAATCATGGTTATTTTCTTAAGGGGTTTGGATTTGTGTATTCTTTCTTTCTTTTTTTTCTCTTTTGTTTCTTGTAACTGTATTGCCATAATGGTTTGATGTTTTGTACTGTTTAATAAAAAAAGAAATCAAAAAGATTCGCGAACCCACTCTATAGTCCCTATCTGAATCAAATGCTTCGCGATTCGCGATCCGATTGGAGCGCTTCGAAACAGTGAATCATTTTGCGATGCAATGTTTTAACTGATTCGGAGTTTGGAAAAGCTCTGTTTCACCAATCACTATATGTGCTTTTTAAAATCATTGCAAGTGATTTCGAAATTGGAAAATGAATGGAGCAGAGGTTCACCTCCACTCCATCAAAAAAGTTATGGGACACTATTAAAGCGATGACAAATATGAACACTAGACATAAGCACCTCTGTACTAATAATGATTTAGAGAAGGGAAATGAATTAAATGAGTTCTATCTCAGATTTGATACACAGGATTATACTCAGGAAAATTGACCCCCAGAAGGTTTGTTTATTTTTTAATCAAATTAATACTAGAAAGTCCACAGGACCTGATGGTATTTCGGCTGCTCTTTTAAAATCATGTGCAGAGGAGCTTACCACTGCATGGTGCCGTTTTTCAACGATCTGTGGATTGTCATACTGTCCCTGATATTTACAACTACCAAAAAGATATCTTGTCCAGTGGACAGTATAGGCCAATAGCCTTGACATCATGTGTTATGAAGTGTTTTGAGAGGTATATGGTGTCCTTGCTAAAGACAGAGGTAAAACCCGTTTTAGATCCACTCCAGTTCACCTACAGACAAGGCCGCGGTACGGTGGACGCTATTAATAACATAACTTATGCTATTGTGAAACATCTTGAGAGTCCAAAGGCCTATGCACGGTTGTTATTCGTTGATTTTAGTTTGGCTTTTGATACAATTAAACCCCATTGTTTGATTAAAAAATTGGGGCAGTTGGGTGTAAATCCATTTTTACTCAAATGGTATCATTCGTTTTTAACTAATCGAAGGCAGCAGGTCAAGGTTAACCACAGTATATCAGAGGTTAGAAGGACAAGTACAGGAGTTCCACAAGGCTGTGTCAGCGCCCCAATTCTTTTTACATTGTATACAAATGAATGCAAAGTCATGATCCCAGTAACCTCATAATAAAATACTCCGATGATACAGCTCTGCTAAGCCTCTTGTATAATGATACTAATCCATCAGTATATTATTCAGAGGTAGAAAGATTTGTGAAGTGGTGTGACCTAAATCATCTTATTATAAATATTAAAAAAAAATGAGTATATGGTCTTTGACCCAAAGTCAACTGGGAACCACTCACCCATATATTTATTCATGAGGAACCCTTTAAACAAGTGTGCTCGTATAAATACCTGTGCGCTTATATGGATAATTTACTCACCTGGGGACCCCATGTAGATAGTATTTGCTCTTGTGCGCAGCAGAGATTATACTTTCTACGAAGACTGAGAGTTTATGGGG